AAAAAAAAGGGAAAAAAGAAAAAGGAGAGTAGAGAGAGAGAGAAATAGAGAAGATAATGTTAACGAAATTAATATTTCTTCCATGCACATGTGATGAGTTTTAGCCAAAATGTGTGAATATTCGTTGTAGGGGAGAAGATAAGATTGATAGAAACTTTAATTAAAAATAATAAAAAGAAAATAACAAATAAACCTAACCAAGATATAAGGTACTAAGGCATTGACTTCACCATATTCAATCAATATAAATTCTGGATTACCAAATTGTTGAATGTTATTGCATGTGATGGCGGATTTCCCTAAATTAATTAACTAGCTTTCTCAAGTCAAGTTAATCCTTCACTGATTTGTTAAATTAATCATATCTCTATGTAATTTTAAACAAACTAATGAGCATTAAATTCTATGGAAACCTCTAGCTTAAGAAGGGGGAGCTCCTAACTCTCTTCTCTTCCTCCACTATCACATGTGAGCTAATTGCCTCTCGGTCTCATAGTCTACCAAAAGAGGGCTGCCACAAGCCTCCCCAAAGCTCCCTTAATTCTGAATTTGGATGGATATTTATAGGATTTTAGAAACTCTAATTAAAATAGAAGTAGGACTTGGAATAGAAATAGGAAACTGAATTTTGGATGCTAATCGCGTGGTGCTGACACTTCGGATTACGTGTTGACACAAAATAGGAAACAGAATCTGATTCTGGACTTTTAACGCATGGTGTCGACACCCCAATCATGTGTCGACACTACACCGGTGTCGGGTTTCTGGTCTTCTTTTGTAATTTCTTCAATGGTAAAATAGCAAATTTGGTTCCTGACTTCTAGATTCTGCACAAGTTGATCCTCAAGTCTCTGATATCTTCAATTTACTTCTAAAAAATAGGATTTCTTACAATTAAATCCTTTCTTACATAAAGAATAAAAACCATGTAAAATCAAACAAAATCCTATAAAACTCATCCAAATATCAATAAAATCAAAGTAAAAATTCCCTATTAATATGTATATAAATTTAGCTCATCAGGAGAGAAGATAAGATTGATAGTGTTTAGCTTTTATTTTTGTCACGCCCCAGAACCCAAATCCGAGGCACGACAAACGCCGTACACTCGTGAGACGGGTCCCACAAGTGCACAAGGCTCGAAACTTATTCAAATCACAACCTGATACCACAAAATCTCAAGATAAAATTTTACAATCTGCTCTAATATCATAAAATCTCCACATACACTCTAGCTTGCAAGAGCATGATTTATTTCTAAATCTATACCAATCTCGAAATGGCTAGCCTTCTAACTTGTCACTCCCCTTGGTTTCCCCGTCCTCAGTTTCGCTTCCTGAAATGGTGGACAAGGGAAAACTATGAGATAACTCAGTAAGTAAATATGGATAGCCCTTGGGTAAAACTTTTAAGCATGCCAAATAAACCATATAAGCATAACAAAGCCTTCAATGATAACTCGTTAAAACAAAATCAGATTCAGTTCAATAGCAAAACATTCAGTGCCAAAACCGTTAATGCAAAATCCAATTCGATTCAATAACAAAGTGTTTCATGACAAACCATTCATGCGGAATAAAACCCATCAGTAGTCTCATCTATAAGTCATGGCCAGTGTTTAACAAACTCCCACTGGCAGGCGTCAGTAATAGTGCCAGTGTTTACACACTCCCACTGGCAGGCGTCAGTAAT